TTGGCACGAGCCTTGTAGCCTTCTCCCGTAACCCGTAGCTGATGGGTGCTATCGCCAAGCAGAACATTTGAGGACTTAAGGAGTCTCCTTGATATACGCCGGAGCGGATTCTCAGGGTCCCTATCTTGTTGCGCCCAATTGTTAATTCAGTCCTCTCACAATCAAGTATGTGACCGATTAGCTTCTGGATCCCGGGTGGAGCGTTTATTGAGCGTAGTAGCCATTTATTGAGCGTTTATTGAGCGTAGTAGGCACCTCTACACGAGTTGCGATGTGCGTCGACAGAGATCGGTTGGCTTTGTCTAAATTCTGTAAAAAGCTATTGAACCTATTGGCGTCTTGCATTTGCAATCCCTCTGCAATTCCTCAGATGCCAAAAATTGGGTTATCGATCTTCTCAAATTCCCCCAAAACTTCGTAACTCAATCATCGAATTGAGGCCCGACTTACTTCAATGGAATACTCTCGCAAATCATAGTCAATGTCACAAAAAAGACGATTAGCCTTAATTTTGAGCGATTAAAAGAAGAGAAGGAAAAGGAAAGTTTTAAAGTAATTTTAGTCTATTTTCTTCCTAAAAAGTCTTTTTGGTAAGTATCTGAATCATTTAGCCAAATCAGAAACTTATTATCTTATCAACTTATTCAACTCAACTTATCCAGCTGCAAGCAACACATGGAAAACTCAAGCCTCTCACCTCTCACCATCGATTGCTACAAGACGTTTATGAATGCGATTTGCATTCATAAACGGTTTTTAGATTACGGTATTTAGATTTGCAAGAAAAAATCTCCACTTTGTTTTTGATTACAAGATTTTAGTTGATCTGATAAAACGTTAATGAATTTTCTACAATCTATTCAAGAATGGGAAACTTTTCTCCCCAAATATTCTTCCTGATTGCAGGGAGGTGAATGAAAAGTTTTCGAATCGGGTCACTCGCATCATTGCCTTGTTTATGGCTTCTCGAGGATTTCCTCTTTCAAATCCTTTTTGGTTTATCACAACTGGCACACTTCAAGTCAAATCGAGTATTTGAAAACGAATCTTTTTGATAACCAATCGCTTAAATTTACTATTAGAATTTCAAACAAACATTCCCTAGATGTTTTTTTGAAGGTTTTTGTCCAAAATGAAGTTGATTACTGGTAGTTTTTCATCAAAACAAATCGATTTGAATAGAAAGTTGAGCCGTACTAATGGTGATTATTTTTGGCGTCAAGTTTTAAAGGATTTTTGTTGATTATTTTGCAGAAATTTCTTTAACTTTGTATTAGTTTTCAAGAGGAGATTCAGGGCTATCAAATGATTATAATAGTTTAGTTTATCTTTGAATCTTCACCAAGTTATCAATAAAAGAGTTCAAAATCTGCTACGGCCCTTTTGTGGAATCCCCTTGTAAGTCTATCAATAGAAAGCACAATGCTTTGAAAAACCTAGAAACATTTCAAGGTTGAGGTCATGATTGCTCTTTCATTTTCAACTTTCCCACCCAAAAAGCTTTAAACAATACTGTTTCTTTAGCATTGAGGCGATTTCTCCAACCGTGAGAAAAGTAGGCAATTGACACGGATTTCACGCGTGTTTCCCCTCGAGTAAAATCCCTAGTTTCTGGGTTTTTAAATTGATCAAGGGTTTTTAATTTGATTGACCTGATTGCACAACAATCTGGAAATCCTTTAAGCTTTGGTTTAACCCATTACCCAAATTTTTCTAGTTAATTAGATTGCTTAAAGTGAGCAGTTTTTTTGATTTTAGATTTTGTCTGTCTACTGAAAAGTTGGCTTGTATTTGAACCAGAAAAAAATTGCTTAAACACCCCAAATTTTGCTCTAATCATTGCTAAACTTAAACTAAACTAATAGTTAAATTAAAAATTGACCTTCAAAAGTCAAATATTAGGTTGATGCAAAAGTCTTTTTCATTTTTTTCGTACTTCCGTTAAAAAGTAACAAATGCACCAATTGAACAACGGTTTATTGCATTCGAAAGGCCAATTATTTTTCTGCAAAATGACATTAAAACGAGTTTAAAATGTCTTATGTCTAGATTTTTTTGAGAGCCTGAAGTCGGGTAGTCAAAAAAGGCGACGGCTCGATGATGCATTTTAGACGCTTTAGCTAAGGAAACCAATCTTGATGTTAATAAATAAAAGATAGAGCACAAAAAGTTGGATATTTTTTCAGATTTTCAGAGAAATTGATTCAGCCAATTTCTTTATAGAGGTTTTTATAGATTTTTATGAAAAACCCGTTTTCACTCTCGAATTTGCTTGAAAGTGAACCCAAATTGACTTAAAAAGATGGGAAATTCAACAATAAACACTTTTCATTTAGAGCAAACCATAGGTTAATTGATGACTTTGTTATTTTTCAAAAGAAGTACGAAAAAAATGAAAAAGACTTTTGCATCAACCTAATACTTAAAGGCAACTCTTAAAGATTAACCCAAATCATTTACCGAAATTTTCCTAAAAATGAATCTTGTTTACTCCATGAAAAAGTCCTAATCTTCTACTCATAAATGAAGAAATGGTTCTCTATTCTCTGTTCTATTTGAGGGTAAAAAATGGGCGGAGCTTTGTGAGATGAGGAGGGGGAAAAGGATTGGGCTCATTGTTCGTTTTCCAAGAGATGAGAGAGGGTTAGTGCAAAGGATTTCTCCCATCTCATTCCTCTTTTCTACTAGTAACCAACTTTTTAAGACAAGATTCTCAGCTTTCGTTTGAAAATTTCAACACTTGGATCTTACAAGAGTCAATTTTACATTCAACATGGAAAGTTCGCATTCAAGATTCATAAATACCTCAAAATTTGAACTAACTTTTACATTGTGCTAGATTTTTGCTAGATTTTAGAACTAGATTTTTTGAAAGTCCAAGTCCAAACCCACTCATCCAAAAGCCATTCGCCATTTCAGTCCTCAAAACTTTCTAAAGCTCTCTCCCGATTGTCTGTTCTTTAATTTGTCTCTATTGTTCGAACTTTGGCCAGAACTTTTGTCAACTTGTTCCCAAGATCACAAGATTGCAGATCAATTCAGATTTCAATTTCAAACAGCGTCTGACCGGTTCAGTTTCGCAAAGATTCTGAAGTTAACAAATGCAAAAAGCTGTCTGCAACCATAATATTTTGTTCTTATCTCTATATAAATAAACTATGATTTAACTTCTCTTTATAGATTTCTTTTATTATTATCCAGTCTTGTCGGCAAGTTGTTACAGTAATTTTCTAGGCAAATCCTTAAAGAAAAGAAAAGAGAAGAAAAGGCCATCTTTCGGGGATAATTTGGGTGATTTGCCCTCTCTCGTTATGGCATTTCACCATGCCGATACAAAGAAACACCTGGGCTTGCAATAATTTCAAATCCGGTATTGGAAATTGTTGATTTTAAGAGTCTAGAGCTCTTGTTTGTCAAGTTTTCATCGAAATCTTACAATTTTTATCTACTTTATCCAGTTTTTTGGTTAACTTTTGAAATCCAGCCTTGAAACATTGGATTTGCTAACAAGAGATTGTAAGAGATCCCGCCTTGATCTGTCATCCGAAAAGAAAAACTCTATCACCTAGTCACTCACAAAAATGTCAGCAAATGAAAAAAAACTTTCAATCAAAACTTTCTCCTCTCCGGAGAAATCTATCTCTGATGTTCTGATTGTTTTTCGGTATCTCTCTGCGATTTTTTTTCATCTTTCCAAAAGAAACCATGAAAATCATTGAGGAATCACATGGAATTTCTCAAATTTTATCCAAGATCTCACCAAGTTTTTACTATTTTTGTTCAAGGTTTCGTGTTTTTATGACCTGAGCTGGCTTACTTTGGCTAGTTTTTCGCTGGCTAGTTTTTAGTTTGATTTGGTTCAAATATTAGTTTGGTGAATTGAAAACTGCGGGACTTTGAACTAAAATTTATTGGACATAAAACCATCAATTCATTCCAAATAATTTCCATTATTATTGACGACTTCTGCTCATTTTACAGGCAATTTGCGGATTCCTCTTTCGATTTTGGTTTGTGTGTGAGACAAGTGTGAGACTCAAAAATGGAGGACTGGAGCTGTCCGATGTCTCAGTTTGAGCACTTTCTTCAAAAGAAACCCATTTTGGTATCAATAGAAAAGTTATAGAGAATCAAAAATTAGGCTTATAACCAAATTTCCAAAAAGATACACTTAGTAGTTTCGCTTAGAATCCAAGTTTTGTGAAAATTCGTAAATTTGGCATTTCTTGAAAACCAGTTTTTGAATCTTTCTGAAACTTTGGCTATAAGCTTAATTTTTGATTCTCTACAACTTCTCCATTGACACCAAAATGGGTTTCTTTTGAAGAAAGTGCTCAAACTGTGACATATGACAATAGCCGGCAGTTTTCAATTCACCAACCCAATAGTTGATCGATTTATTCAATAGCAAACAAGTTTGAAAGCTTTATCAGAAGATTTATTGATTTCTTAAGTTAAAAATATAGAATTCCTCAATTTCTTTCGTTCTTTCCAAAAACTTGTTAAGAATTGACGGATTTGAGAAGAATTGCAGGTAAGATTTGACCGATTTGAAATGAATTGACAAGAAATTTGTGCTTTCACACTTTTTACACACCTACTTACTCATTTTTTAGCGGTAGAAGTTGTAAAAGTTCTTTAATTTTGATTCTAACTTTAATTGTTTAATTGGAAAAATGGAAACATTGGCACAGGGATTTATCAAAACTTTAGCAGCTAGTAGGGAAATTTTAGAGCACAAAACCGTTTAGTAGCGTACAAAGTACAAACTTTTCTATTGGACAAGCTTGTTTCGCTATTGGACTTGTTTTAAGAGTCAAATCTTTATTTTCTCACAAAATAACTATTCTTTAGATGATGTTTGCCTCAAAACTGTTTCCTATTCACTTTCAAATCTTTCAAATTCAATTTTAGACAACGATCTGATTCCAGAGCAAAGACAATCACGATTTAAAGGGAATTTTCTCTTTTCAACTCAATTTTTCCAAAATTTCAAAGAAATGGTGACCCCAAAATGGGAAATTCTTCGGCTAATGGTCAGTTTTACGCATTTCTGCGCACATTTTAGTCATCGCAGATTTTACCGTCAAAAAAATAGATTAAAATGGCTGTAAAACTTAAAAGAAATTCTTGATTACTCATCCAAGAAATATTCAAAAATTTCAATGACAAATCTACGCCCAGAAATGAAAAAATTTGCATTTTTATGGGATTTCAATTTACCGCCGAGACAGTTCTTTTTTAAGTGGCTGCCTCTCGAAAAATTTGAAAGGAAATTCTCGAAATTCTCTGAAAATTTGTCTTTCGCAAGATTGAAGAAGATTTTCGAATGTTTCTCATGCAAATAATTCAGTTGTGCCAAGTTTTTCGATAGGTTTTTGTTTAAAGAAAAGAAAAGATTTGTGTGCATTTGGTGAGCCCATTGAAGGCCATGTGATAGGCAATAATCGTAAGAAATTCAATTGAAATATGTTATGGGGAAACTAAAAGTTTTTGAAATTCACAATATTATTCATGATTTTAGCTCTAGAAGTACGAGTTTTATGTAGAAAAACAAAACGAATAAACCCGTCGCTAAGTAGCGTTTATCGGTGATCAAAGCGGTGGAACACATTTGAACTCTTTAACAAAAAGAAGAGAACTCAAAATTAGTTGGCTGTGAAAAGTTGGAGGAGATTTTGAATCAAGAAATCATTATCCAGTTTAAAACAAATCAATCAACTCTTAATTTTAGGGAATCCTTGCTCTCGTTTCAATTGCCAAAACCGACGTGATTGATAATGGATTGAGACGTGGGTTTTTGAAAGGAAAATGGGAAACTGTGTAGATAATCTACCACAAAATGTAATGATGAGTTAATTGTGAAGAAAAGTAATGCATAGAGACTCTTTTATTTTAAACAGATTTGGTAAAGAAAAGGGATCAAAGGGAATCGAACCCTAGATCTTCTGTTTGCAGGCAGACGCCCTATCCAACGATCTATTAAGCTTTATAAGATAAACTATATAAGTTATATAAGTTATATAAGCTATATAAACTATATAAACTATATAAGTTATATAAGTTATATAAGTTATATAAGCTGTATAAGCTGTATAAGCTATTAGGTTGTCCAATAAGTAATGCGTGTTTTGACACGATTTTCAAAATATCACAAAATTAACAAAAGAGAACTTTATTAATCGATATATTCTCCACAACAATCAACAACATTTCTCCATCGTCCGAGCAAAGAGTGAAGTCCGTCATAATAGAATGAAGCTGGTTTCGATGAGAAGAAATCGTCGAGCCATTTTTGCATCTCGTCAACACTTTTGAACTTGTGTTCTCCAAGAGCGTGCGCCATCGAACGGAACAAATGGAAATCAGATGGAGCCAGGTCTGGACTATACGGCGGATGTGGGACAGTCGACCATCCAAGCTTCTCAATCTTCTGCTGTGCGATTTTTGCAATATGCGGACGAGCATTGTCAAACTGCAGTTTGCTTTGGTCAAAGCAGTCAAACTGCTTTGGCGTCGGTTTCGGATCTTCTCCCGGCGACAACCACTGGTGCTTCCTCGTTGCATTGTCAAAAGAAATCCACTTCTCGTCCGCAGTAACGATGGAATCAATAAAACCAGAGTTCTTTGTTGACCAGAGTTCCTCAATTTGTGAGGAAGCCACTTTCCGCATCGATTAAATTTTTCAATCTTCAATCTGTTGATTTGGAACAACCAAATAATTCGGCCAACTCACGAGTAGTTTGAGTTGGATCAGACTCAATGGTGTTAAGCTTCGTTATCAAAAACGACTGGCCTTTCAGCGCGTTCCTCGTCCTCTAACGACTCGTTTCCGTCCGCAAATCGTTTAAACCAGCGCTGGCACTGGCTGATTGAAATTGAATCCTCTCCAAATGCGGCACAGATAGTTCGATGGCAATCCGCTGCAGTTTTACCTCGTTTGAAATCATACAGCATTGATGCGCGGACAACAAACTTTTTGTCTTTCACCTGCAAAACAACATATCTATTATAAAACAAAGGCAGATGAATAAAATAATATATAAAAATAAACACAAGATGCTGATGATTAAAAAGAGCATATATTTGCTCGAAGCGATTTCGTAATAGTTTCGAAATAAGTAACACGCATTACTTATTGGACAACCTAATATATAAACTATATAAACTATATAAGCTATATAAACTATATAAACTATATAAACTATATAAGCTATATAAGCTATATAAGCTCTGCCTTTCTTGGAAGAAGATAGCTAAAGAGAGCAAGGCATAAGCCTCTCGTGTCTTTACCAAAAAGAATTTATGTAGCAAACCGTTTCTATTTGGCTGTAAACTTGATCCCAAATTCAAAACAATATTTATTGGCAACCAAAAGAACAATTTAATCGAAATAGTTTCCATTAATTATCGAGTTTTTTTGAGCTGATCGTTGTATCATGAACCATTGATTGTCTGCTTATTATCGAGTTTCCATTATTTGCAATAATCTTTGCCCATTTTATTGGCAATTGGCAGATTTCCCTCTCATAGAAAATTTCTGATTTGACTCAAAATGGTCTTGGAGCTACTTTTTGAGGTCTTCTTCATTTTGGAATTCCATCCAGGACGTGTTGCATTGATTGGAAAAGATGGCAATCTGTAGAACTGAGATTAGGAGAATATGGTTGTTGGAGTAAGAGTTCCCAGTTCAACTTGTGGATTGTGGAGTGCTCTGAACCTTGCCTGGCGTTGTCGGTGAACTGATGAACTGGAGTGTTGGAGAATGATCATCTTCAAATTGGCTTTTCCTTAATTTTCTCATCGAGTTTTTTGAGCTGCTCGTTGTATAATGGAGCATTGATTGTCTGCTTATTAGCGAGAAGTTCCCAATAGATGATACCTAAGAGATCCCGCTAAACCGATAGCATGTACTTCTTTTGGTGGGGATCTGGGAGCATATCCTTTGGTGGTGTAACTCCAGAGCCCGCCCTGGGAAAATTTCCGGCAACATCTCTGATCTTTACGGCGGCACCTTTGATCTTTCCGGTAAAACGTCTATGGACGTCGGTAAGCTATGGACGTTTTACCGGAAAGTTCAAAGGTGCCGCCATAAGGATGAGAGACACCGCCGGAACTTTTCCCGGAGCCTAGCGTACGGGCTCACCCATTGTCGTCTTCTCTGAAAGTTTGCAGGCATAATCCACTTCTCATGTCCCGTCATTTTGAAAAATGGTTAAGACTTGAGTTTACCACCTAATAATTCGTTTTCTAAAACGTTTTGAAAGCTTGCTTTCAACAAATTTATCAATTTTCACAATCAAGTTTAGCTATTGGGTTGGTGAATTGAAAACTGCGGGACTTTGAACTAAAATTTATTCAACATAAAACCATCATTATATTCCAAATAATTCCCATTATTATTGGCGACTTCTGCCCATTTTACAGGCAATTTGCGGATTCCTCTTTCGTAGTAGGATTTTGGTTTGTGTGTGAGACAAGTGTGAGACTCAAAAATAGAGGACTGGAGATGTCCCAGTTTGAGCACTTTCTTCAAAAGAAACCTATTTTGGTATCAATAGAAAAGTTGTAGAGAATCAAAAATTAGGCTTATAGCTAAATTTCCAAAAAGATACACTTAGTAGTTCCGCTTAAAATGCAAGTTTTGTGAAAATTCGTAAATTTGGCATTTCTTGAAAATCAGTTTTTGAATCGTTCTGAAAATTTGGATATAAGCTTCATTTTTGATTCTCTACAACTTTTACTTTTCTATTGACACCAAAATGGGTTTCTGTTGAAGAAAGTGCTCAAACTATGACATATGACAATAGCCGCAGTTTTCAATTCACCAACCCAATAGAAACAAGACCTATACACACTATCAGGTAAATCATTACATTTCATTTTCATATTCAATTTATTCAATTCTTACCTGTTTTTTTCAAAAAATACTTTTACTCATCTACTTTCCCAGTCTGGGATTGTCTGTGTTCGATTTTGCAGTTCCTCAATAGATTGGTCAAGGGTCAAGTACTCAGCCATTCACAATAGTCACCTTTTTTGCGGCATTCTTTTCTCACCTTTTATAGCAATGATGGGTTGGCAGGTAATTATCGATTCTTCTAAGGTTTCTCTGAGTAAAATGAGAAGGAAAACTTTGAGACAGTGTCTCTTTGTTGGTTAATGGACTTGAAAACTTGAAAGTTCACACTGGAAATAACCGATTTCACTAGAATGGGATCGGTGACCGAATTTTGAAGAAATTGTGTAATTTGTGGAAGTGAAATTTGAAGAAGAACCTTGAAAAGTGTCCAGACTTGGTACTTTGTGCTTAGACATGGAAACACAGCTTTTCTGGCGTATTAAAACCATACCGCTCATCGAGGGGTTCTTTGGATTGAAATGGAAACACAATCTATTATTTCAGTCTTCTTTCCGTTCTTTCCGTTTTCCTTTCTTTTAGTTTCCTTTGAAAATCTTCATTGTTAAGAAAATGAGACTTTAATAAGCTAGAAAGCTACATTCTAAGTACAAAATAAAGTACTGAGAACGGACACAACAACTCTAGAACACTAGTCTTTAGCTGTAATCTGCTAGAGCTGTAATCTGCTAGAGCTGTAATCTGCTAGAGCTGTAATCTGCTAGAGCTGTAATCTGCTAGAGCTGTAATCTGCTAGAGCTGTAATCTGCTAGAGCTGTAATCTGCTAGAGCTTATAAATCCTAAAGTAAGTTTCGAACTTTTAAAGAAAGAAGGGCTAGCCACTTAGCGCTTAAACGTTAGAATTTTCAAGTGTTCAGCGGTTTTACAAATATGCTAACCCAAGTTCTTCCACTTTCCTTGCAACACAATGCAAACGAAGCCGTTATTGCTTTGAAGCACTTGAAAGTGAATTCATTGTCATTTCACTCACAATATCCAGAACACTCTCGAACTTTTCTCCTCTCGAGCGACAAAATTTGCATATGGATACAGACTTTCCTGTATGAAAGGCTCTTTTGTACTTGCTTTCACTATTCGATCCAACTCTGGCCTATATATCGACTAGTATTCAGGGAAAGGAGATTCAGAGATTCAGGGAAAGGAGATTCAGAGATTCAGGGAAAGGAGAGATCGGTGAATATCCATTTGAGAACCCTTTCCTTTCAAAGGCATTCGAGAATGGCTAACCGGATGAATAGAGAATAGAGATGATATTATGAGAAAGGGAAATGGAGGGGGTTTAGTTGTGAAATATAAAATTTGACATAATGGTTGTATCTACAAATAGTGAAGAGCTATAGAACCTGGACTAGCTCCTGTAAAGTCCCAGTATTCAATATACATTGCAGTAACCCAAAAGCCGAAAGTAACCGAAAAGTCCAAATTCCTAAGTCAAGTCTAAAGACTTTTCACTTAAATGGAGTGAAATTTGAATGTAAATTCTCAATTTTGAATTTAAAACCGTTTGGTTTAAGGGTTCAAGGATTGAGCGAGTGGATAACAATCTTGGCTAACGTTCCGAAGAACCAGGGCTCGATCCCAGTTACGGGAAATGAGATTTAACAGTTCTTTTATTAAAGGAACTGTTAATTCATATTTTTTTCATGGATCAACAACTTTGGGAAACTGTAAAAAGATTTGTAGACTTTATGAAAGCTTTGGAACTTTGGAACTTTGGAACAAAAGTTAAATTAGCAGCTTTAAGGTCAATGTCGACCAAAGCAATGACCAAAGTCAACTTTAAACTAGAGTAATTTCTAAACTAACATTTCTAAATTAACATTGGGACATTTCCAAAGAATTTCCCAAGGTCAATCTTGCGTTTGACTCAATTTTTAATTCCCTTAGCTCATTCTTTCTCCATTTCTCCCACTCTCACCTCGCTCAAACAAGGGAAAACTTTCAATCGAATTCACACTCGCCTCGTTGAGCGCAAAATTGAAAATGTTCTCAATATCACAGAAAATAAATACAATAAATAAATAAATAAATAAATAAATAAATAAATAAATAAATAATAATAATAATAATGCTTTATTCAAACGATAAAGTGAAAGAAATCATGGAGAAATGCACAGTGATACTTAATCATACAATACATACTGAAATCAATAAGCCAATTACTTACGGCAAAGAGCCACTAGATCTAAAGCATCGATACGTTTCTTGAATATGAAAAGCGACTGAATTTCTCGTATGTCGTTTGGGAGCAAGTTCCATAATAAATAAATAAATAAATAAACAAATAAATAAAGAAATAAATAAATAAATAAATAACTAAATAAATAAATAAATAAATAAATAAATAAACAAATAAATAAATAAATAAATAAAACCTTTAAAATTTAGATGATCCAATCGTTGAATGTGGCCAAGAGGGGTTGACTGTTCGTTTTATGACTCAACGCGAGTTTGAGGGACATGTTTATGTAAAGGCAAGTTTTCAGCTCTCGAATACTCTTAAGTTAATCAATTTTTACAAGTTAATAAGGTACATGTGCATTTTAAGACCATCCTTAGTGCCGAAACAAAGTTTATTTGCTAAATTTTGCCTTACACAGGCGAATTTGCATTTAGGACAGTCTATTTAATAGACTTGTAATAAAAACATCTGTCGGTTCTTCTTGCCATTGGCAATTCAAGGTTTTTCGTGTTTTTCTCAGCATCAACCCTTCGATTTTGGTTATTTTTGATTATCATTCGATGCAGAATGAAATTGTGCGTCGAATGGTACTAAAATCAGCTCAAAATGTCATATCCACACAAAGTTGTGGGCTAAAAACCTAAACCCCAGCCATTATGGGCAAGACTTAACCTTTTGGATCATAACCTTGCATGGATATGAGATTTTGAGCTGATTTTAGTAACATTCGACGCACAATTTCATTCTGCATCGAATGAGAGTCAAAAATAACCAAAATCGAAGGGTTGATGCTGAGAAAAACACGAAAAATCTTAAATTGCCAACGGCAAAAAAAGAACCGACAGATGTTTTCGTTATAAGTTTACTGTGTAATACAAAAAATTGTTTTTGATATGATTTATATGCTTTATAGCTTTACAAAGCCCTTAAGAACTCCAAAATATTTTTCAGGGTCACTACGATGATGGAGCTTGTCGAAAAGATGCCACTTTGGAGGACAGTGTCAATTTCACTGTTCCCTACACGAGTTGCGATGTGCGGAGACAGAGATCGGTTGGTTTTGTCTAAATTCTTTAAAAAGCTATTGAACTTGTTGGCGTTTTGCATTTGCAATCCCTCTGCAATTCCTCAGATGCCAAAAATTGGGTTATCGATCTTCTCAAATTCCCCCAAAACTTCGTAACTCAATCATCGAATTGAGGCCCGACTTACTTCAATGGAATACTCTCGCAAATCATAGTCAATGTCACAAAAAAGACGATTAGCCTTAATTTTGAGCGATTAAAAGAAGAGAAGGAAAAGGAAAAGGAAAAGAAATCGCCTCAAACGGCGTTCGCAAACTTTTCTTGCGTTGAGGGATGAAAATGACTCTTGTTTCCGTTCTTTTTTCTATTCCACAATTCTCAAGCGATTCCGGTCAAGGCCCTATTTGGGGAAGTAAAAGAAAGAAAAAGAAAGAAAAAGAAACAGTTTTTGAAAAATGAGGCAGCGGTAATTCTTGTTCTTTCAAATTTGGGTTATGGTTTGAGTGAAAAGCCATCTCTTTTCGCTGTAGTATGCAAGATAAATTTCCAAACCATGCAAGATAGATTAAAAGTTTGTAAATTTACTTTAAATGGGAACTGTATGCTTGGTAAAATGTCTGCAAGTGTAGATTACGTAGAACTTGACCTGGTGACACTAATCTTGGAATGCCTTGATGTGTATGCATCTCCTTGACATCCTTGACAATCTCAGTACTTGAGTAGAGAAGTTTGTTGATAGATTTGGTCTGATATCAGCTTATCTGACAATCCCTGCACCATATTCGAGTCATAAAGCTTGTTCGTATCACCTCTGCTTATGCATTAAACTGCATTCCTAGTGCACCACGCCAAGGGTTTTTTCTATTGGCTTAGGTTGGCAAGAAAATCTTTGCACAAATTCGAACTGGAATTTCTTAAAAACGACCATTTGGCTATATTAGTTTAGATTAAGATAAATTAGCTTTAGATGAAGCTAAATTAGCTTTAGATCAAGCTAAATTAGCCTTAGATCAAACTAAGTTCATTTAGATGAAGCTAAGTTCGTTTAGATGAAACTAAATTAGCTTTAGATCAAGCTAAACTCGTTTAGATGAAGAACTGATGAAAAGAAACTGTATTCATATATGGTTTTATTCTTGAGAAAAACTTTACAATATAAAAATTATGGACAAAAATTAACTAAGAAAAGTACATAAAAACGATTATTTTCAGTACTTTGTTGGACCTTTAGCGGCCTGGATAGTTGAAAACTCGTTCGAACCTACTTTCAATCAATTTCAGAGTTGCAGAAATTCTCTAACAAACTTTGCGAGCCTTATCTCATAGTTCTGTTTTGCCTTTCTTCTTGCCATTCTGAACTTTCTTGCCAACATAATGGTATTAATCCAAAGCCTAATACTCGAATCCTACTAAAGAAATCAAGCAACAATCATATTCACAAAATTCTGATGTTCTAAATTCTATAGAAAAACCTTGAACTGACAGTGAAAGTGGATCGGGCAAAGTGAATTTTTGAAAAGCACAAGAATCGCAATAAAATCTTTCACAGTTAGTCTCTTAAAAATCCATGTATAGATTTAGATTCTCTAGACTCTTAGCAACACTTTGATATGTTATTTATGAGATTTCGAAATAATCTCAAGGAATAACACACGCTCAAACACGCGACAATACTTATTTACCACCCTGTACTTTTAGCTTAACTTTGCTAGTCTGATTCAACTATTTGGAGTTTGAAATGAGGCTAATAATCTTTCTTTTGCGTCTTGAGTATCACTTACTTTGTTAGTATTATTAGTTTTTGAAGCATAGAGCAGTTTTTGAAGCTCAATAGGTAAAAGTTCCCTAGTTGTCAGTATACAACGTATAACTAGATCTGATCTCTTATCAAAGAGTCTTGTACCGATTAATACTCGAATTCTATTAAAGAAATCAAGCAACAATACTATTCACAAAATTCTGATGATCTATATTCTATAGAACAATCTATTTTCTATAGAACTATCTATATTCTATAGAACAATCTATATTCTATAGAACTGTCTATATTCTATAGAACTGTCTATATTCTATAGAACTGTCTATATCCTATAGGACTGTCTATATCCTATAGAACTGTCTATATTCTATAGAATTGAACTAATGGCGTGTTCTTTTCCAGAGTTCACCCCGAGGTCTCTTCCTTTCAGTCACTCTCATCATCTCTTTTCATCCAGTATGTTCAAACTCAAATACTAAAAAATATAAATCAACTATTTACAAATCTCATATCAATTTTCTAGATGTTCGTGACAAAAATCGATCGCTCCTACAATGTTCAATGCTTTTACACAGAAGTTGAAAAGACTGTGACTCAAGCGCTCGACGTTGGGTGAGTTTTGTTCAGAAAAACTTCTAAAATTGCGATTTTCTAAAAGAAATTCTAAACAAATTCAAAAGAAATCAGTGCATTTATCTGAATTCTGATAATATTTCTTGTGATTGACTGAAACCGATTCACGAAAAGAAATCGATTCACGCCTATTTCATGCCAAAATCTTTTCCGACAAAATCCTTTATCGTTTTCCGTCAAGTGACATTCAAATTAATGAGGCTTTGTGAGAAAAACACGACTTTTTTTGAGGAGAAAATGAAAAAAAATCAGAAAAACCAGTAAAAGAAAGAGAAAGAGTTTATTTGAGTCAAAAAAGGAGAGCCGAAAAACGAGATCATTATCGTTTTTGGTTCGCTTGGTTTAAAATTAGAATTGGAAAGATTTGGGGTTTAATAAAACTGAGAAAGATTATTAAATTGATAAGATTTTAAATTGATAAGAAATTTAGAATGAATCCTGAGCAAATGGCGAGCATACATGGGTCAGAAGCCGGAAAATCCCGACGACCCGAAGGCGTAGATCGATTTGATGTGTTGGAGTGGGTTTTTGAATTATAAAGTGCTGAATTTGTAAAAGATTGACAGGATCTAAATCTTATTATAATCACCAAGCAATAGCCATTCTTACAGGCTGGCTAATAAGTATTATAAGTAATCGATCGCGTTTGTCGATCTAGATCCTGTCGATCGATGTTTGAACGCGTGTTACTGCTCGAGATTAGTTCCAAATCTCATAAGTAACATGCAAAAATGTTGCTAAGAGTCTAGAGAACTTTAATCTATGCATGAATTTTTGAAATAATGATTGTAAACGATTTTATTGGGCTTCTTGTGCTTTTCAAAAGGCCAGCCAATCGTTTTTCTAAAGTTTAGTGTATATTTTTATGAAGAATGCTTGGAAGATTAAACTCACAAAAGGAAAAGTGCTTAAAATTTTAGTACCAACTTTTTAAGAGTTAAAAACCAGATGTGTAAGATCATATGGCTATAGCAAGCCATATGGATCGTATGGCTTGCTTTTAGAAACCTATTTTTCACTTTTTTTTAAGAGAGGAAAAACGAGAGCAACAAAGAACATTAAAATTTTTAAAAAACGTTTCTTTAAGCCAAATTGAAAACTATTTCAGTAAGTAAACATTTAGGGCAATATTTAAAAGAAAAATTTGAAAAAGTTAACTAAATAAATAGATTCTACTTGTATAGAATAAGAAAAATAAGAAAAATAAGAAAAAGCTTAGAATTGATCTCGAGCAAAGTGAATTTTTGAAAAGCACAAGAATCGTAATAAAATCTTTCATACTTTTGAAAATACTTTCAAAAGAAGAAAAACGATGAAAGAAACGATCAAGCAATACAATGAAAGGTCCTAAAAAGCGATTTGGAGAGAGAAAAGATAGGTAAATAAGCTAGAAAAATTGTTTTACAAAACAACAAGGTACCTCTTGAGTGAACTGAATGAAAAAATTTGACCAAGTTAGCGAAGAAAAAACGAACTACGGGGTGGCTAATAAGTATTGTCACGGGCTTTTTTGTGCCTTTTTTTCAAAGCATAAGAATCGCAATAAAATCTTTCACAGTTACCGTATTTTCTCTAATAGTAGTGCACCCTGAGCGTCACCTAAATTGCTCGAAATCTCGAGAACCGCTTATCAGAACCTATCGATGTGGGGTCGGGAAATGTAGCTGACGATGAGAACTTGTGGGGGATTTGAGTGTTGAACTTCTGCAAAAGCTTGGAAATCGTAAAATAGTCATCAACTCGAGTCACTGGGGTGCACTACTATTAGAGAAAATACGGTAATTCAAAGAGCTAGTTGTGGATTTAAAGTATTGTGGCTCATCATTGTGGCTACTTTGAAGCATTCCTTGTAGCTGTTTTGCGTCAGTGGTTTCCCTCTCACATCTCAAGAACAAAGTCATCCCTATTACAACGGATACCTGGCTTGAATTGCTTCTTATTGCTTACAAGAAGAAGCAATTAATAGTACCCAGTTTTCCTTTACTTGTTGCCCGTTCCAAATTTGTTCCAAATTCCAGGACATGTCGCAATAAAATCTTTCACAGTTAGTCTCTTAAAAATCCATGTATAGATTTAGATTCTCTAGACTCTTAGCAACACTTTGATATGTTACTTATGAGATTTTGAACTAATCTCGAGGAATAACACACGCTCAAACACGCGAAAATACTTATTTACCACCCTGTACTTTTAGCTTAACTTCTGATTCAACTATTTGGAGTTTGAAATGTGGCTAATAATCTTTCTTTTGCGTCTTGAGTATCACTTACTTTGTTAGTATTATTAGTTTTTGAAGCATAGAGCAGTTTTTGAAGCTTAATAGATAAAAGTTCCCTAGTTATCAGTATACAACGTATAACTAGATCTGATCTCTTATCAAAGAGTCTATTTCCGTATCTGTAACTCACTCTGAGTCAATATTTGTCCAGTTCATTCCGATTATCCCTTTTTTGCACCAGTTAGAATAACAATCTCTCAATTCGACCAAATCCGCATGATTTCTCTTTTCTCGTAGTTGAATATCACGCGAGAAAAGTCATTAATTATCAAGAGAGAGAAAAATGAGAGACCAAGGGCATAGTCGAAGAGTTTTTGGGAAAAACAAATGAAAGGGAATGGTAAATCTCAAAAACAGACTGAAATAAAGCAAAACTAATAATTTCGAAATCTAGCTCTTGTCTAATCTAGCTCTGTCTCTAGCTCTAGCGGGTGCAGGAGTGAGTTTTTTAGGAAATAGCCGAAATACTCCCAGAACTTTTTAGAAGGAACTAAATAGGAACTATAAAGTAACCAAATCGGAACTATAAAGGAACTATATAGGAACTAAGTTATGTAGAAAGTTATCTGTCCAATAGAAAAAATTTCAATTTTTGGTGTTTCTTAGTGTTTTTTGGGATCTAGTGTCCCAATCCACGGCTAGCGTCGCGGTCTGGAATGACAGAGTGGTTAGCGAGCTCGCATCTAGTGCGAGAGGTCGAGGGTTCGAATCCGCCTCCGGTCAAACGTTTTGCTTTTTCACTCAAATTTAAGACAAACCTAACCAATAGACAAATTTGAAAGCTACTTGATTGATTTTTAGTGGTGTTCCCGAGGAGACGATCACTTCAACAGTGACACTTCCCACTTGTCGTTATGAGGTGAAATTTTGCGTAGATCTGATCTGATCTAGATCCCAAGCTCTATTCATTCATTTTTCTAGGTGTTGGCTGAGAGTGACAAGGGTGATGCAATTAAATTTGCGACAGTTGGACAACGAGTTTATCATCGATGGACTTGCGAAGATCCGGCTCATCCTGATGGAAGTGCGAATGTTTTGAGCTAAAAGCTAGGCTTTAAGGCCTTTAATTTAAGGCCAGACTTTAAATTGCTGGCCTTAAATGTTGGAAGGACAAATTTTAAGTACAATTTTCAATCATTAAACCAAAGAAGAGTCAAAAAAAGAAGATTTCTCTCTTTCCTTCATACTTCAACTTTTCATTTTCCTGCATTTCCTTCATTCTTACTCCCATTTGAAGCCAAAATTTGTCGAACATCAAAAAATAGTTTTTAAAACGTAAAAAAAGGAAATTTTGCTTGGATTTTGCTTGGATTCCCGTTTTTCTCAGAGTCGAAATCTTAGAGTGGCACTTAAACTACGAAAAAAACTTAAAGAGAAAAATTTGCGTCTTTTCAAGTCAAGTGCATTTTTCGGATTTAAACGCGCTTTTCTCTCAGTGTTAAAAAAAACAAAATTTACATAGGGAATCGATAAATTTTATCAAAATTAGAAGAATATACTTATTTTAAATGAATTCTCGAAATCCAATTAATCATTTCAATTCCAGCAACACCATTTTGTGCCACCGTTCACTCGTGCAGTGTTCGCGAGGAAAGCGGGAAACAGGCGTTGCTTTTGGATGAGAATGGGTGCTCCGTGGACAAGTGAGTGAATCGAAAAAGCAAAAGGGAACACAAAAGCTATACTTCATTGAAATCATAAAGGTCGACTTTGTCAATCGGAGCCTCTAAGCCAAACCAAGCCAAGACTAATCCAGGGTGTCTCAAAAACAGGCCCATTTTTTTTGATCTATCTTCGCACTTAGGTGTTTCTATTTGCGCAGCTCACAACCTGCTTCCATCTCTATCCCTTGCTATTGTCATCCAGTGTTTCTTATCTTCGTTGTACCTGATTCGAAGTCTTCGACTTGCTTGTGCTGGTTGTGGTTGCACTCCAGCCATCCTTTCTCTAACCGTCTCTGCCACTCTTGTGCTCCACCTCGTTGCTGGTCTTCCGATGGGCCTCTTTTGGTCTCGTGGTAGCCACTCTGTGATCCGTATCGTCCATCTGTCGTCTGTTCTTCTGGCTACGTGGTCGGCCCATCTGAGTCTTTTTCTTTCGATCACTTCCACTGGATCTCTGAGTTCCGAGAGCTGGCGCATATCCGTAATTCTTAGGTCTTGGTCGAGCTCTTCCTATTGTGCCCGAGGAGGTTAACAGGCCTATTTTCAAACCGAATTTTAGAAGGCCAATCAAGCCAATCGTGCCAAGACTTTAAGGCTAAAAGATTTCAATGAAAGACTAGGTTAAAGAATGCAATTGTAAGGGCTGGGTTTTGCATTTCTCTACATTTTTTTTGCAAACAAGTTACGCGATTTTGGCCAATGATCCGTGAGCTCAAATTGTCGCCAATCCATGACAAACATTTGAATAAATTGAGGTGTTGCTCTTGCATGGATATTTGCTCAACGCAAATATCCATACAAGCAAATTTCCTTTTCAATAGTCTAGAAAAGATCCATTCAAACAAATTTCCCTTTCAGTAGCCTAGAAAATGGGAAAGATGCATGGAAATATAATAGAATATTCAGAAATACTTAGAATAAATTAAGAAGATGATAGAATAGTCAATCAAAAGACATTTTTCAGATACCTTCTCACCAACTTGGTCTACACTTCAGCCTTGACGGGTGGACAGACGTCTTTCGTATGTGAAATTCTTGCGTTTAGGTATTGAAGCCAAATTTTAGGTCTTCAAATTCGCCGATCAACCATCCCTTTATTTCCAATGTCAGATTAGGCTTTCGTTAAAAGAAAATGGAGAATGTCATGTAAGTTGTGACATTTCTGGACTTGAACAGGAGAATTTAGCGTTCATCAGACAATTGCCCGAACACGCTACGTGGCAAAAGAGATGCCACAAGTTTGCACAAAAGATCGGCTGAAAAGCTTCATGAAACAGCAGTTCATGGCCCGGATGTTGATGTCTTCTCACAAAGCATGACAATCTTTGAGATCGATGATGACTGTAAGTGATTAGAGCTATTGTCTATTGTCGGAACAGACTCTAAAGTAGGCAAATCGTGGGACATTTGATACGCGCCCCGCCTCTTTGCCATTGGCAATCCAAATTTGAGCTCAAATATCTTGGTGTTGGGCTGTTCAATTTTAATATTCTTGGTATCATTGTATGCGCCAAGTCTTTCTCTGTCGATTGGTACAAAAACTATTCAAATTGGAGAGCTCAACAACAAGATATTTGAGCTCAAAGTTGGATTGCCAATGGCAAAGGGGGCGGGCAGCGGATTAAATGTTCCACAATCCTGACAACTGGCCTTGTTGCAGGATAGCGGATAACCTAATTGGTGGGTGGACGTATAAAAGGCTACCAGACATCTGATAAGCCTCGCCCCATTTGCCATTGGCAATCTAACTTTGAGCTCAAATATCTTGGTTTTGGGCTGTCCAATTTAGATGGTTTTTGTACCAAACGATAGAGAAAGACTTGGCGCACTTAATGATACCAAGAATGGGTAAATTGGGCACCTAAACACCGAGATATTTGAGCTTAAAGTTGGATTGCCGATGGGAAAAGGGGCGGGGTTAGTATCGATCTCGGTTTGCTGGAAAACTCATTAGACTTTTCTAAAAATCCCAATTCTAAACTGATAGCAAGGGCTAGTTATATAAAATCTAATTATTTAGCTCAAGACAACAAGAACTCGAGCTCGAGCGCAATGGGAACACTTCTCACCGGGCATGGCCATGTTTGCTTGTCACCTTGGAGGTGGGATCATTACTTTTAAGTAGTATGTCAAAAATCTAGGCCTAACTAGGCAAGATCATTGGCTAGCAAGTATTGGAAAGCCCTACTTGTCCTAGGATTGGCTTTTGGTTTCATATCTTTAAGCTTTTGATAGCTTTTACTGGCCTTGGGCTTTGAAGAAACCTATCCTTGACTTATTCTTGAATTTTCTAACAATAAGCTAGACCACAACACTTACAATTAGCTTAATAGCAAAATCAATTAGCCTTTTCAGTTTTGGCCTCCTCATTTCAATGATGGGAACGATCGTCTTGGTGTCGATCATTTCCCTGCTACTCTTGTGCCGAAGAAACTCAGCAAAAGTCAGCTTCTTGGAGCAGTGATTTTAAGGAAAATTTCATTTCTTAAAAGCTTAACCTAATAATTGCATAAAACAAAGGTTTTTTCATGTTTTTCTTTGTCTCAAATTTTTGTGCCAAGCTCAGTGACAGACTTTCATTCCATTCCTCCACTCCATTCCTCCATTCCTCCAGCCTTTGAACATTCCGAAAACTTTTCATGGGTAGTTAAATGATCAAAATTTTGTAATCCATAAAATTTTCAATGTTTTGATGAAGACAAACGTTTTTGCTCATACTAAACTTGCCTTCTAACACTTTCAGTTTTTTTTTTTTCAAAATTTGATATGTCGTAGCCGTTTACGAAATTCAGCCGCTAACGAATGAGGGGTATTTCCGGGCATCCAATCAAAAAGTCACCCACAGAAAAATGTTCATAATACATATATTTTATAATAAATTTTTGAAATTAGCTCATTTGGTTCAGTAGAAAATTTTTTTTGAGCCCCCAAAGTTTAGGTTCGAAAATGCCCTAAAATAGCTATAAAAAGGCCTAAAATGGCTATTTCTACTTAGCCAAAAAACTTGCCTAATAGCTCATTTTGTAGCCAATTTGATGTAGTTTCTTAAAGTAAAGCTACATTGAACATTTGTTTTTCAAAGCTAGGAAAAAGAGGACGAGGAACGACTTCAGTTGAACCCGGTCGCTGTTTTCACATTTGAGAATTGCCCGGAATTTGTTCCTCGCCCTCTTTCTCCTACTTTCAACGAAAAATTGTTTTAGATGGCTTTACTTTAAGAATCGACATCAAATTGGCTACAAAATGAGCTATTAGGCAAGTTTTTTGGCTGAGTAGAAAATTTTTTATAGCCATTTTAGGGCATTTTTGAACCTAAACTTTGGGGGCTCAAAAAAAATTTTCTACTGAACCAAATGAGCTAATTTCAAAAATTTATTATAAAATATATGTATTATGAACATTTTTCTGTGGGTGACTTTTTGATTGGATGCCCGGAAATACCCTCATTCGTTAGCGTTAGCTGAATTTCGTAAACGGCTACGACAGATACACTGCGTTGCTTTCAGGGAAATCTCTTGTGTTTTTGTAATGAATAAATAGATAATAAATGAATCATAAATGAATAATAAATGCTTGTATGTTCTAATTTGAAACATTGATTTATTATTTTATTCGTTTATGCCACAAAAACAGGAAATTTTTGTTGTTATTGTGGCTGAATCTCGTGAAGAGCCGTTTCCATTTGCGCCTGAAACTCTTTCTTCTCAATTTGGATCGAAAATTTCCTTGTCTCAACAAAGTTTTAGTATAAAAGATTAAAATAATATTTTAAGTGATTTAATTTTGGAATTGGAGACACTGCCAGACACTTCACTCAAAGACATTTCCCTCAAAGCTGTTTTGGAAAGTTACTAGTTTATGGGTTTGTTCCAAAAACCCATTTTTGTTGTTTTCTTGCTTTTCTAGTGTCTGTAGAGGTAAAATTGCAACCGGTGCAATTTTACGGCTTAGGCGGCTCACCCAACTCTTCCAACAGTTATCGTTCCGCTTCTTCGTATGGAAAAAGTTGTCTACTGACTATGGGAAAATCTAGAAGTATCAATGTTCTGCAGCACGCGGGCACATGTGCTGCAAGCTCTCACGGGCTTCGCTTACGGTTCCGCTGTATGTGCGCAGCCGAAGCCTAGATCGGCCACAAGGGGAGTCGAAGCCTAGGTCAGCTACAAGGGAAACCGAAGCCTAGGTCAGCCACAAGGGAAACCGAAGCCTAGGTCAGCCACAAGGGAAGCCGAAGCCTAGGACAGCTACAAGGGAAACCGAAGCCTAGGTCAGCCACAAGGGAAGCCGAAGCCTAGATCGGCCGAAGGGGAGTCGAAGCCTAGGTCAGCTACAAGGGAAACCGAAGCCTAGGTCAGCCACAAGGGAAGCCGAAGCCTAGATCGGCCACAAGGGGAGTCGAAGCCTAGGTCAGCTACAAGGGAAACCGAAGCCTAGGTCAGCCACAAGGGAAACCGAAGCCTAGGTCAGCCACAAGGGAAGCCGAAGCCTAGATCGGCCGAAGGGGAGTCGAAGCCTAGGTCAGCTACAAGGGAAACCGAAGCCTAGGTCAGCCACAAGGGAAACCGAAGCCTAGGTCAGCTACAAGGGAAACCGAAGCCTAGGTCAGCCACAAGGGAAACCGAAGCCTAGGTCAGCCACAAGGGAAGCCGAAGCCTAGATCGGCCACAAGGGGAGTCGAAGCGTAGGTGCTGACCTAAGCGTAGGTGCTGACACAAGGGAAGCCTCACAGGGATCAACGGCAGGGAAAAAGGTCAAACAAAGTGCTGTCATTGGACAATAATTTAAAGCTTACGACTGTTTCACAACGTTTTGGGAAATTTTCATTTTTTCGTAAAAATGCCTTGAGGGAACAAGACCAACAAATTCAAATTACGAAAATTTTTGGTGTTGACTGGCGCCTAATTGTTATTTATTTTACATCTACAAACACTGAAAAAGCAAGAAAACAACAAAAATGGGTTTTTGGAACAAACCCATATACTAGTAATTTTCCAAAACAGCTTTGAGCGAAATGTCTTTGAGTGAAGTGTCAATTTCCCTTCGAAATTCTTACCTGAAGCATTCTCAAATCCCCAGCCATATTTAACTTTGCCAACTTCTCCGTGGCGCTATCTAGTTTTTCAAGGAGATCTCGATCAAAAGCCGGTTCTCTAAACTTGTTTGATTTCATTAAATTTGAGATTTAAAGTCTTGAGTTTTGTAGTTTTTTTAGAGGAACCAGCAGGAAAGCTGCCTCCCGGCGGCTTTTCTAAAAGCAGAAAAATCCAAGGGCGGGATCGAACCAGCCAGGCATCACTCTGGAAACGGGAAGCTCTACCACTTGGCCACGACTGCGCCGAAACCTGTCAGCAAGGAAGCCGTTAACACCACAATGACCACATATTCTTAACAGAGTTCTAAAAGCAAAAGAAAAATCCAAAGAAGGGAACGAACTCGTCAGGTCTCTCTTTAGAAACGAGAGCTCTACCATTCGGCCAGGGTTGCAGTGAAATCCTCTCGCAAGGAGGTTTTTTCTTGCGTCTTTCTGGCTGAGTTCGGGTCGTTGATGTTCGATGGTCCGTAAGTAATCAATGGCAACAAAACAAAAAAGAAAGATAAATGATGAGACTCAATGCCTCACGGTGGTTTTTCCTGAATCCACGACAACCTTTCCCGTTCGTTTCGTAGGCGAGCGCGCTCCACTTGACCATCGCCAGAGAACCGAAGAGAAAAGTTGAGCTAGGCGCGGGTAGTTTCAAGAAAACTTCAAATAACTATTTCCACCAAACTAACCATAGCTGAGAATTTTCGCGAACCCTCAACTTTTCAAGAGGAATCTAAATCTGCGATCAGAATCGAAATCGGTGCATGGAGCGCGATTCTGGAGGAGGGTTTAGGCTGTGAGTCCGGGATGTACGTAAGTAGTACTAGAGCGTAGTTCCGGAAAGCGTTTGGACATGGGTTCCTTTATCAAGTGATTTGTTGGAAATTTTGTTTCCTGAGTCTACTGTCAAAATTTCAGCCTAATCGGTTCACGGGGACCGAGATCTGATTTGAAAGACCAGATCTGAAAAAGTTGACGGACAGACATTTCGTAATTCTATATAGTAATAGATAGTTTCTTTATAGAAAAGTCGACTCACGTGATTTGGATGAGTTTTGGTTGAAGATGTTCACATTTTGTTCTCCAGACTTTTGCTTCGGCTTCAACTTCGAGAAGTCTTCTTAAAAAAGCTATTTCAAACCATTAAACCGGTGTTACTTACCAAATAACTACTTACTAACTTACTAACTAACTAACTTACTTACCAAATTTGCTACCAACTCTCCTTTAAATTTCAAAGCCAATTCTTTCAATTCCCTGCTTAAATTCTTTCACAAACCTCCTCAATTCATGCTCGGTCCGATCCTTGTCTCTCAACAATAACTTCAGCCTTGCTATCTCTTCTTCCAGGAATTGATTTTTCTTCTTTAAATCATCAACTTCAATCGAGTTTTGGTTCAAGTTTTCTAAAATTCTTTGAATTTTATAAGCATTTAAACATGAAGTTTGGTTTTTCAAGGGAAATGAGGTTTACCAAGTGAAGCTGATGTCGCTCGATCGGTTTTTTCCGGGAGAGTCAAGTGATTCGTTGGAAATTCGTCTCTTTCTTCCTAAATGCAACTTCAGTTTTAATCTGCCAAAGCTAGATGTACTAGATGTAGCTATATGTACGCAAATTTTAAAAGAAATCAATAAACCAACCCTTTCAGAAGTCCATCTAGTCCTGGAGGCTCTTGGGCGATCTTCGGATAGAGCCTAATATTATTCTTTTATTCTTTTCTGAAAGATTTACTCATTTACCTGACGAAGCTCGGTGATCGATGAGATTTTGGGGAGTTTGAATTCCTGAAAGCAAATGAAATGAAAGCAAATGAAAATGAGCGATTTTTGTTTTACCACAGTCTCTCGATTTCTCATCGTTGAATAGATGGAAGAACCGGAGGAAGAAGCGGAACGATAACTGTTGGAAGAGTTGGGTGAGCCGCCGATTGAGGAACCCTGATAGACAAAACAAGTTTACCCTCAGCTGCTAGACTGCTTGTTTATTTACGCCGCATGAAACAACCATAAGAGATTTGCAACTTGTTAACTTTGGTTAAAGACGTTATTGTCTGATTTATTGTCTGGAGTTTTTACCGACATTGAACCAAAAGTTGATCTTGGTTTTGTAAGTACCGGAGACTTGAATTGGAAGTACCGGAGACTTGAATTGGAAGTACCGGAGTCTAACTGGCTATGGGAAAAGTTGTCGGCTGACTATGGGAAAATCTAGAAGTATCAATGCTCTTTCAGCCCATCATTGCTTGTAATTGTGACAGGCTTGTAATTGTAACAGGCCTGTAATCCCAGTTTAGTCCGGTGGCTTGACATACAGGGTACGCTAAGATTACGGATACACCTTTTCAGCTGATTGTAGGTTAAACAAGGATTCAGGCTTCAATTTTCTATACAACACTTAGGGTTTTTGAAGTGATTGCGGTGTTTGGTATGCAATCTGCTGAAAAGGTTTATCCTATAGACTGACTGGCTGAACTGGGTTGAGAAGTTGGTAGTACAATTGGCTAGTATAATGGCTAGTATAATGGCTGGTATAATTTGCTATCCAATCAATGAAATAGTCAACCAACCGATCCATAGCCCGAGGTCCTCCCAGTCGAAATTGACGACACAGTCGGACTGCGACAATATTTAGCGATAAGACCATTTGCACTTTCGACGCTACTCTCCAAATTTGTGCTTGTCATTCGGGGTATGTGAGTTGACGGAACATATCCGTAGCCGTAATTTCTCGATGTGTATCTAAATGTTTGTTGTAACGATTGAAACTGGATTTTTAAAGGCCACCTTCTGCTCTCATAGTCGTTTGCTGGATTTGTGTCAATGTTGTAGCTGCTGTAGCTTCTTCCAGAGATTCCCGCACTGAAAAAAAGTGGTTAATTATTGATATATTATTGATAAAGTCGATGAAACAAAGCTTGAACTAAGAAAGACAGTAACGGATTGTTTCAAAAGTATTAGATTGGTATAAGTCTTTAGAATTCTCTTCAAATTTTTGTTTCTATGGAAAAGAATTCTTTTCTTAGTGAAAGAATTCTTAGTGTTGCGTTTTAAACTATAAAAAAGCCTATCATTTCTCTACAAGATGGCCTTTAAGAGAAAGCCTTTGAAAGAAATTTTTACTAAGTAGCTTTTAACTTAGTAAAAACTAATTTTTGGTATAAAATTTTCAATTGTTATTTTAAAGGAAATCACTGGACGGATCGTTTTCAAATTTTACAGACTTATGTAATTAAATAAGCTCTATCTTTTTTACTTTAATACCAAAATAGGTTTGTATTGAAGAAAGCATCCAAATTTCCACTTTAGCATCGGAGCAATTTTGGGTACTCGGCTTTGCACCTTTGAAAATTCACAAAAACAACTACCTCCAAGAATTTCCCAAGAGCCATTTTGCAGAGAAACAATCAAGCTTTTTAATAGTTTAAAGAGAAATTGTGTTGGTGGCGGCATTATTTTTAAAAACGCTTGGAAAAAAATTGTAAAGACTTAGGTAACCCAACAATTTTTCAAGGCCAGATCAAGCTGGTCAAGTCCAGATCAAGCTGGTCAAGGCCAGATCAAGCTGGTCAAGACCAGATCAAGCTGGCCAAGGCCAGATCAAGCCGGCCAAGTCCAGATCAAGCTGACCAACCCCAGATCAAGCTCGTCAAGGCCAGATCAAGCTCGTCAAGGCCAGACCAAGCTCGTCAACCCCAGATCAAGCCGGTCAAGGCCAGATCAAGCTGGTCAAGTCCAGATCAAGCTGGTCAAGGCCAGAAGCCAAGCCCTGACTTTGCTGCAGGCTTTGCTTGGCTTTTGATCGGACTCCGGCCTTGCCTTGCCTAGTTTTCTGGCTTGGCTTACTAGAGCCCGGCTAGAACATTATTGGATAGTAGTATTGCAGATGACACAATAACACAGTGAATAACACAATTCCTTTCAAAATACCTATGACTTCTTGCCCCAAAAGCATAATATGTCTTCATGCTTGTCAACGAATGATGTCGTCGTCCCGGTGTGTTTGAAGAAGTTGAAGAGGTGGACGGGATTGGACACCTGAAGCTTGAGCTTATCAATAACAAGTAAAAATACAATAAAAACTTTTGTTTTAGTAAAGAAAACTTGGATTTTCGTGTTAGTTGTTGAATGTATGTGTTGAAAGAAGAGAACGAAAAGTGTAAGCTTTTGAAAGGGCCATATGGACACAATCGTTAGAAAGGAAGATTGGAGGGTCGATTTTATAGTGGGGAAAAGGAGGAATACGAGCTGAAAATCTTTAGAATGAAAGAGATATTTATGATGATTATTTCCATAGTAATTCATCCAATGCACCTCTTTTTAACAGTGTTTTGTTTATTTTTCATAGTAATAGTTCAATTGTGAGTCAAATTTGATGGAGGTGGAAGTGGAGAGAAGAGTGCAGCTCATGCTTATGCTAAGTGAAGCTCATGCCTATGCTAAGTGAAGCTCATGCTTATGCTAAGTGAAGCTCATGCTTATGCTAAGTGAAGCTCATGCTTAGGCTAAGTGAAGCTCATGCTTATGCTAGGTGAAGCTCGTGCTTAGACTAAGTGAAGCTCATGCTTATGCTAAGTGAAGCCCATAAGTCCTTGGTTAATAACAATTTGAACTTCACTCACCAAACTGGTTGCTTCTGTTTTTGTTGCTCTCGCGAGCGTCGTTTCGGAATCGGTTTCAGTCCAGTCGAGGATCCGCTTGGTTCGCTCGAAGTGCCGGTAAGGAATCTTAATGTAATTTTTAGCTAGAATTTTAGATTAGATTTTAGATTAGATTTTAGACTAGATTTTTAGATAATCTGGAATCTTAATATCATTTTTAGATAGTTCTTCTAAGCATAGGTTTTCTCTAAAAGGTTAGGTGAACAATTGTAAGTTCAATCAATCGTATTAAGCTTTTTATAACAATAAGTAACTAGGCTAAATCGTCACAAAGTCAAGGGATTGATAATAAGCTAAATTGTAAGTCCAGTCAACCGTATTAAGCTTTTTCTTACAATAAGTAACTAGGCTAACTCGTCACAAAGTCAAGGGATTAATAATAAGTTAAACAAAAGTTAATAACTAAATAAAATTCACTATTTTTGAGACATTTTCAAATTCAAAAGGTTTAAAAGTTTGAAAATCTTGAATCTCAAAGGAGGAGAGTGTGTCGAAAAGTAAACAACAGCTAGCAGATCAGATTACAAGAGTATCCCCTAGGAGCACCGGGAAATAAAATCTTTAAGACAAAACAAGTTTAGAAATTCACGTATTGGTATTTTTAAAGAGATTCACCTGCTCAAATCGTTCAATTTTTGTTTGGTTCGTCGCAAAATCGAAAATGTGCTCGTCGTCGTTCGCTCGGTCATCGCTGGGGTTTTGTTCGGTTTATGGTTCTAGGAAGTCAAAAAGATAGACTTGTAGATGCAAATTGAAAACAAGAGACGAGAAAAACCGGACGAGAAAACAAGAGAACCATTGCCATCAAAGCTAATATCAAAAGCTCAAATTTGCAAATTGCCTGGCTAAAACGATAAACGGAACTGAACTCGATCAAGCTGAATTCAAAGCACAGAATGGTCAATTTAAGCTTTATGAATGTTGAGCCAGATGAAAAAGGCTTTCTCTGAAAAAGATGCAGAAACAAAGCGATTAGGAAATACCCGCCAATACATGGTGCGTCACAATTACTGCCTCACACAACGAGTACGCAGTTTGAAAAAACCGCCTCGCCTCTCTTACAATAGAATTTAGCTATTTTCCAAGGAAAACTCTTCTAAATTGTTGTTTTTTTTACTTCTTTATTTTCTTTATTCTAACATTTGCTGTTTTCACCAAAAAACTTTTAATTTAGTGATGGCAAAGCGACAGAACTTCGATCATTGCACGCCAAAGGCTATGGGACACTTGAGATTGTTCGACTTCTAGTATAGAAGTGTTGTGATTCGTCTTGTGATTTGTTTAAACGATACAAGGGGCTTGAAACGTTAAACAACCGTCCCGGACGAGAAAACAAGAGAACCATTACCATCAAAGCTAATATCAAGAGGATCCGCAAAAAGATCAGGCGCAACCCCGCGCGTTTCGTTCGTTAAATGGCTCGTGAAATGAAAATCAGTGAACTGTCAGTGCGTCGAATTGCTCGAAAACATCTTAAACTTAAAGCCTACAAGAAATAGATGTCATGGAATATCGTCAGCTCAAAAAATCCGTCGTAAAGTCCGCCGCCAAAGTCTCCGGACCTCAATCCAATTGACTATTCTATAGGGAGCGTTCGAACGCGTTCTTGAGGCCCATGCTTGTTCAAAACCCCATAGAAATGTCAAATCATTGAAGAAAGCGCTTGTGAAAGCCTGGGAAACACTTGATATCCCTTATATGCCACTATGGACGACACACCTTGTAATAATGATTAGATTCAGGGTTTTGCCAGGCCAGGCTTAGGTTTGGGCCAGTAAAAGCTAAGCTAGAGTACCAGACAGTAAAAACTATTTACTGGTTGCAACAATTCCTTGAATCTAACAGAAACCAGGACTGAATTTGTCTTCTGTCTGACTTCTGATTTCCTGATGGGAACCAGGCCCAGACTTGCTGATTTCCTGATGAGAACCAGGCCCAGACTTGATGATTACCAGAAACCAGGCCCAGACTTGCTTACGATTAGAACTCTATTCGAATTCCTTGAACGCACCAACTCGATCATAAAGTTTGAAAGATCAAGTTTGAAAAGTTATTCATAGAACAGATCACTCGCAAAATAAACAGCAAATATAACTGGGTGAAAAAAACAAAAAAAAAACTAGACTATTTCATGAAATCTCAACTTTGATTTGCTTCATCTCGGTCAACATTTAGCTTTCAAGCTCAATAAAATTGAAAAACTCCTCTCGGAGGGCATTTTTGTCGTAAAATAGGGGAAATGATGGGCAATCAAGTTGGCAAAAGAAAAGCTTCATTCTCATTACACAGGAGTCAGTCAGTGTTTTTTCTCATGCCTTGACATTCACGTCCATTGAGGCCAAAAAATTGATCCAGGTAGAAAAAGATCAACAAAAAGCATTGCCAGAATCTCTGGAAAAGTGGAAAAATCAGGGCTTTCTTTGCAAAACCAAGAATTTGTTTTAAGAAGTTTGTTTTTCTGAGCTTTGAATAACTTTGCCTGAACTTGGATACGCTCTGACCTAGCTCTGACCTTACTTAACGTTGCCTAGATGGCTTACAGCAGCTTCTTGCAATTATCAGTTGATCAAGCATATCCCAACGGGATATTAATGCATAGAAGTCAGACAAAGTCATGGTTTATGATCAAATTTCTTACGTACAAAGCTCTTATAGTAAGAAGTAGGCCAAGATCAGATCGGGCAAGTGCAGAACCAAGTTTAAACCTGGATTTTGTTGAGCTTACAAGCTACAAATTACAGGCTACAAATTACAGGCTACAAGCTGCAAGCTACAAGCTAAGGCTTACAAGCTTACAAGCTACAAGCTACAAGCTACAAGCTACAAGCTACAAGCTACAAGCTACAAGCTTACAAGCTTACAAGCTACAAGCTTACAAGCTTACAAGCTACAAGCTACAAGCTTACAAGCTACAAGCTTACAAGCTACAGGCTACAGGCTACAAGCTACAAGCTTCCTAGGTATTTTTGTGAACATTTAGATCAGCCTTGGCCAGAAAAGTTAGTTTGAAATGAATTTTGAATTGGATTTGACTGTACCTTTGATAAAACATAAATAAAATATCTAAATACTCAAATAAGAAAACATATAAGGATTTAAATATTGATCTAGCTCGATAACAAAAGAAATCGCTGAGTCCGTGTGTGTCAAGGATTGGAGTGATTTGTGAAAAGAGTCGACAAGAAGACAAAGAGAGATGGGACACAACCAGGATATCATTAAGAGATGAGGACAGCTGACATTTCTTTCGTATCTTGTGCCTTTTGCTAGATCTCTTCCATCCCTGAGCCACTCATAAACACCGTTCCTTTAGATTCTATTTCACTGTCTGTGCATTTTACATCAAAGAAACAAAACTGACTTGTGGTCAGATAAAAGAGACGTGTCTTTTGCAAAAATAACAGTTTATCTTAGATTATCACCCACTGTAAGTTGATATTTTACACGGAACTTCTTTGGGCTCAAATTTAGAATCTTGTTTGCAAAGTGGAGTGTCTCAAAGAGATTTTTGGGGCTTCGTGGAGGTCTTTGATTATCCATTAGGTTGCCCGATAAGTCTTTGAAAACTTTTTTTTATACTAGCGTTTATAAATGAGAAGTTCACCGTTAATAATAAACATTTTCTAATTAGAGCAACCATAAGCCAAAAAAGGCGACAACCCTAAGACGCAATTTAGGCGCTTTGGTCCACAGAAACCTATGCTGTTGTCAATAGATAAAAGATAGAGCACAAAAGTTAGACGTATAAGGAAATTTTCAGAATAATCTGTTCAGTCGAAGTAGAGTATTGTAGAGCTTTTGAATTTTGCGAAAAACGAGTTTCTCCAATTAAATTTTGAATCCAATTGACTTATGGTTGCTCTAACTTGCTCTACAATCGACTGCTCTAATTATTAGGTTGGTGAATTGAAAACTGCGGGATTTTGAACTAAAATTTATTCAGCGTAAAACCATCAATTCATTTCAAGTTCAGCTCTAAAACAAATATCTAACACTATTCTATCAGGAAATTCTATAGTTCAACTAGATTGAAGGCTTAAATCTTTACACAACTTGAACAATTTGTCTATCTTTTCTCTTACTTTCGCTGACAATCTATTGGGTTGGTAAATTGAAAACTGGTGAATTGGTGACTTTGAACTAAAATTTATTCAACATAAAACCATCGATTCATTCCAAATAATTTCCATTATTATTGACGACTTCTGCCCATTTTACAGGCAATTTGCGGATTCCTCTTTCGTAGTAGGATTTTGGTTTGTGTGTGAGACAAGTGTGAGACTCAAAAATCGAGGACTGGAGATGTCCCAGTTTGAGCAATTTCTTCAAAAGAAACCCATTTTGGTGTCATTAGAAAAGTTGTAGAGAATCAAAAATTAGGCTTATAGCCAAATTTCCAAAAAGATACACTTAGTAGTTTCGCTTCAAATGCAAGTTTTGTGAAAATTCGTAAATTTAGCATTTCTTGAAAACCAGTTTTTGAATCGTTCTGAAAATTTGGATATAAGCTTAATTTTTGATTCTCTACACCTTTTCATTGACACCAAAATGAGTTTCTTTTGAAGAAAGTGCTCAAACTGTCACATATGACAATAGTCGGCAGTTTTCAATTCACCAATCCAATAGAAAATGTTTATTGTTAACTTTTTTTAATCCTTTTAAGCCAATTTGAGTTCATTCCAAAGAATTCTAGTGGAGAAACTCGTTTTTCGTAAAAATCAAAAGCTCTACAATCTACTGAACAGATTAGTCTTTTGCTGATATGTCTAACTTTTTGCCCTCTATCTTTTATCTATTGACAAGAGCATCTGGATCTTTCTGTGAACCAAAGCGCCTAAATTGGGTCTTCGGGTTGTCGTCTTTTTTCGCCTTTGTCGACTTCGCGCTCCCAGAAAGATCCAGAGACGAAAAATTTCCAGAAGATTGATTGTTATTTTGTAGAAAAATACTAGGCATTTCTAATGAAGCAAACCGTAGTTCAATCGGTGAATTGGTTCTTTCTAAATGGTTCTTTAAATGAAGTGTTCAAAGACTTATCTGGAAACTTAATACAAAGGCCTGATTGCTAACATAAGGCTCAAATTTTTTAGTAATTAACATATCCAGCTCCTTCAATAAGTTTGTGTATAACACTTTTCCAGGAACTGCTAGAATTTATTTCATTTCGATTCATTTTCACCAAAGCAGCTGTGAATGATCAGAGTTTTATCACAATGTGTTTGAAATCAATTCTATGTACTTACACACTAGCTACAGCTAGGTGTAATCCAGTATACCTGCAGTGATGTAATTTTGGCATATTTAGGCTTTACTATAATGAAAGTATACTCAATGATTTGACATTTCTATGAGATTTTGAACACGCACGGGCCTCAAGAAGTATGCTAGTCAACATAATCTTCAGAGATCTTTTAAGAAATCAATCCTTTCAAGCCATAAAAACCACGTTTCTCCGTTCTTTTCCTGAAAAATCACGAGGTCAGTTGTCTATCGACAAAAAGAAAATCGGTCATTAGTTATCCTTATCCTTGTTCCTTCCTCAATTTTCTTTACAAAAAAAGTCCCGATTTTTGAAGTCAAGTAAAACTGAAAGTAAATGTGAAGCAAAACTTTTGTGTTAATTGATTGTCTGAATCTGAAATGTTTTAACTTTTGATTGTAAGTTTGAATAAAAAAGCAATTTCTTCTT